AAATGCGGCGCGATGGTGTTCTGCTTGAACCGCTATGGCCTGTGCGCGGCCCGCGCTCGTCCTTCGCCACGTCGCGAAAAGCGGGGCTGCGCGCGCGAGCGCCTTCCGTTCGCTCGGCGGGAACGCGCGACGCTACCAGTATCCAGTTGCGCCAGCAATGCATGATTACTGTGTTCTGGTTGGGAAAAATTAGAATGAGCTCGGCCCGCTGGCTCGGTCAAGCTGCCTAGCTCGAGCTCTGCCCCCAGGCCGCCTCCTCTTCCTCATCAGGACGCCTTTGAACTGGTCGAGCGCGGTCGCCAATCAGGGAGAAGCAAGAGGGACAGAGGAGAAGGCGAAGGAGGAGTATAGAGGAAGCAGGAAGCAGGAAGCGCTGCGAGGGGTGGGGGGCACCCCGCGAATGGCCTGGTAAAGCGTCTGGCTCGTTAACCTCGTTGAAAATTATTGCCAGCGCTTGCGGGGGCGATCGGTCAGACGGACGCCATAAAAGGGCTCCAGTCGGCCATTCTCTTCGACCATCGTTTGTCGCCGCACTGGTCGATAATGTCCAACAACCTGTTCTTTCGGGTTCGTTGCTGCTCTTCCAAAGCAGGGATGCCAAGCTTCTGAAACATCTATGCGGCTCTATGAATGGCACGTTGGATCCATTTTACCCGTCCGCCTCCGCGGAGTGCTCACAATATGTCGCATCATGTTGCGATCGTCCAATCTCAACCACTGTTCTCTTTCAACTGTCAATGTCCAGCACCCACTGCCGCAAAGACAAAGCGGCGCCACAACAGCACTCAACAATTGCAATATGTACTTCAACGGGTGGCAGTTGTTCGTGGGCTCTGCCTTGAACATACCAAATGCGGCCTAAACGTTGGAAATCCGATTCCCGACATCCCGATCGTGGATGTCACTAAAAGAAAACAAACTCCCAAGATACATCGGATCACCGTCTTAGGACAATACCTCGACCAAGCCACCGCCGACTGGAACGCCAGGTTGACGAAGGACGCCACTGCGGCACCCCACATCCGACATCATATTAATCCTACCCATGTGAAACTTTAGGCCAACTGTTTCTCCACATGTTCGGAAATCCTCAAGCATACGCCTCACGGGCGCCCGCGTGTTTCCAAGTAGCAACACGTCATCCGCAAACCTGAAATTCGTCAAGAAACCCTGGTTCATGCGAGCGCCAATCTGGTACTAGCGTCACTTCGTCTGAAGCCGCCGCGTTAAATGCTCCAAAATTGCAATGGATAATGCCGGACTGAGTGGTTCTCCTTGCCGAGTGCCACCGTCCAGCTTGTAGGTGCGGCTTGTGCAGTCGGTTACCACCTAGGCGGCCAGTCCAGTGTAACAGCGCACAAATAGCTTGGTATACTGTTCCGGCACGTGTTGCTCACGTAAAGCTTCCCAAATGACCTCGTGGGTGACGGAACCAAACGCCTTTCCAAAATCAACTGCATTATTCCATCAAGGCATCCGGTTTGCCCGCTTCTCTTGCAACAACACGAGAGTGAGAAGGCGTCCGTCGCAAGTAAAACTTGCTTGAAAACCAAGTTGCTCAGCTGATTGATTGTGATTGCTCCATATACGGTACTGAAAAGCTTGCACAATACCGACAGGATTGATATGCGGGGGCAGGTCTGCGAAATCTTGGGATTGCCCTTCTCGAATTAGACCTTTACTCTTGTGTGCTTCCACGAAGTAGATGGCTCCCCACCGCCAGTCATCACATCAGTAAACAAAAACACAATGGAATCCATCAGCAAAGATCCCCCGCACTTTAATGTCTCAACAGCAACGCCTCCGCCGTCTGCAGCTTTGCCCCGCTTCATTGTTCGAGCGTGGTTTCGTACTTCTTCCGCTGAAGTAAAATGTAGATCAGCCACGTGACATGTTTCATGCCCGGCTCGTTCATGAACTGGGTGTTCTTCTCTTCCGCGCCAAAAAACACAGTTCCTCATAGAAGGTTGCAAAAACTTCAACAGTTTCGCACTGGTCGGTATGTTGTCGCCCCTGCCCGTCCACCAGACTGGTCAATTTCTTGACCTCTTTTTGTTGCGGATATGCTGTATCCGTCTGGTATGCTTGAACGAATTCAACATCTTCGAAATGATATGATGTTTCTTGGTCCTTTCCCATCTCTCCCGTTCTTCATGAAATTCCTTGCTGATTTTATTCATCGACCGATGCTCTGTGCCAGGCGCAGCTTTTCGTGCGCGCCCCCTCTCTGCAATCAAGCGCCGAGCCTTGTCGCTGCGCTGTGTGCGGCAGTTCCTGTCGTCTGGATTTGTTTTACCACAACCGCAAACGCCCACCAACTATCGCAGCTCCGGTTTCGTATTGAGTCCGCATCCCCTGAAGGGGACTTTGACGGCACCCATCGCAAAGCTCAGAAGCGCGACGACACGCAACGAAAATGTCACGAAATTCGGCCCGCAAATGAAAGCGAACGCAGGGAGGAGGAGGAGGAAGCAGAAGAGGAGGAGGGAGAGAATCAAGCTTGCCAATGATACGCACTTGCTTTGCAGCGTATCTTCCCATGGCCTGTCGAAGCGTTGTGCGGCAGTCCCCTTACCGAATGGCCTAGTCGGCCGAACCAGTAAATCCAACACAACATGGGACAAGAGAGGGCGAGAAAGGAGGAGGAGAGGAGAGGGCTGCGTAGTAGCCGAAAGCGGCTCTCACAGCTCGCCGACGCGTGTGGACCCTGACACGCCCAAGCTGAGGCCAAATAGCCTGCAACATGATTCAAGATAGCGCGCACGACCGAAACAAAGTCAACCACACAAGCTCCCCGGCCCGAGTGGAGACGTAGCTGACAAGAGAAGGGAGGAGGAGGAGGAGAAGGAGGAGGAGGAGGAGGAGAAGGAGGAGGAAGAGAAGAGGACAAACACCCAAGACGTTCGAAATATCTGCCTACAAAAAAAGGGCACCGCACACGCCAACCTGCAGCAGGCGAGCACGCGCGTTGACCCGGGACTAAGGAAACAGGCGGGAGCCGACGTGAAAACTAAACCCTTCCGTCCGCGAGGCCCGCGGACCACGCGGGGGAGCGAGAAGCCAAGGAGAGGGGCGAGGGGAAAGGGAGGAGAGGGCAGGAAGTGAGGAATAAATCTAGGTTCAACTGCAACCGCCTCCGGCGGCCGCTCCGGCGTGAAAACTGTTAAAGGATATGTTCTGCTTCACTCTCGGGCGCGCTCCTGCACCACTGGATTTCCTAAACAGCTGTGTGGAGAGGCCCCCGGCCCAGAATTCTGGCTTCTAAATCACTCTGGGCGCGGGCGTTTGAGCGCCGCCTGCAGCAATGACGATGCCTTCGCGTGGCCCCGCACTCCTTCGCGCAAGTAGCTTCGGAAGAGGTCTGCACGCGGGCCGGAAGAGCCAGCACAACGCACCGCATTGTGCGTGCGGTACAAGGCATAAACGCTCAGCGCCCTCAAAGCCTTGGCGTGTCCGCTTCCCTCTGTCGTGCTCCCCCCGCCCAGGAGCAAGAACTCCCCCCTGCTCCCGTCGTTTGGATGATACTTTCGGCATGTTTCAGCAGCGCCTGCCATTGCAGTCTCTATAGCTTCACAAGCCGCCCTGTTATCAATATGCTCGCGCCTGCCACTGCCGATTTGCATGTCATCCGCCCGCCTGCCAAACTCAAAAAAAGAAGCCGACAATTTCCGCCTGATACGTCTACACGTGCATTCGCCAGTGCGCGTCGGGACCGAAGCTTTGCGACTTCTGTCCTATGATCCACACCTACATTGAGATCGTTTGCAGCTTAGAAAAATGTTGTTTTACCCGAGACAACTGCACTGACAGATTCTGAACAGAGATTCGGCCGCAGAAGTCAGCGCAACAAATCGCGCATCTTCCAACTTGTTAAGGCGCCAAAACTTTTCAAACGCATTTGAAAAGACAGCCGTCTGTGTCAGAGAGTGGAGAGACCGAGAAGAAGGAACAACAGAGGAGGAGGAGGAGGAGGAGGAGGAGGAGGAGGAGGAGGAAGGGTGAAGGGGGAGGAGGAGGCGAAGGGGCAAGGGCGCTGTGCGGATAACCCCTGCGGCCCAAACGGCCAGTAATATCAACCAAAAACGCACAACGCAATCCAGAGGGGAAGAGGGAGGAGAGGAGGAAGAGGGAGGAGGGGAGGGGGGAAGCTCAGGAAGACTCCAGGAACAGAAAGAGGGGGAACAGGAAGAGGGGGAAAGAGGAGAAGATGACGAACAGGAAGAGGGGAATGGAAAGGAGCAGGACGGGAAAGAAAGCAAGGATAAGAAATGGGTAGAGGAAGAAGCACGCGTCCGCGCGGAACAGAGGAGTGAGGAGAGGAGAAGAAATAGGAGGGAAAGTTTACTTGGTCGTGCGCCCTGGAACGCTGACGCACCTCGCTCCTCGGCGCAGCCGATCAAGCGCCTTTCACAGGTTAGCAGAGATATAGCTTGTATTTAGCCCTTCCAGTGGACAGTCGTTCAAAGCGCTGCATGTCCCGAACTACACCTACTGTATCTGTATACACGTGTATGCAACTATATGTATACATACATATGCCTGCGAAAGTTGATTGCGGGACGACGCTATGTCCTCAGTCTACCTGAACGGAGCGTACGCAACGAGAGCGAGAGCGACACCTTACAGAAGCTTCCGACCTGCACGTCGAGCTCACAACGAGAGAAGCAGCGCATGTGGGCAGCCATCGTATCCCCCTGATCCGATCGGGTGTGGTCAGAGCTGCGCTGCCAGCGATGTCTCCTCATCGTCGTCCTTCTCTTCGTCCTGACCCTCCATCCCCCTCTTCCTCGTCATTCTGCCACTCCTCGCATGCTTGCGTGTCACGGCGGAGGCCCCGGCAACACGCCAAGGCGTGCAGACGGGTCGCGTGTCGCTTCGCTCCGCTCCGCATGGCGAGAGGCGCGGAAAAGCTCGTGATGCTGAGCCAAAGCTCCAAACCGTAATCATCAATCCTCCTCTGCCGCCCGGGGTCATCCTCGTCATGTCGCTGGGAGCGGCACGTCGGCGCCGGTAAAGCGGATGCCCGTGATCAGAGGATCGTCGGTGCACTGGGCCTCTGGAAGGGCTCACCGTCAACATGCACACCCTGCACACGAGACTGTGAGCCTCTCTGAGATCCTGGCTCAAAGAGCCTCTTGCAGGTGCGCAGGATTGAATAGTGTCCTTAGTCATCGACCTGGACAGGGAATGGGCTCAAGGAGAACGCGTCGACAAGATCAGGCCTCCACATCATCAATCGCCCGCCGACGCTCCACGCCTAACGAGGCGTCAAGCTAGCGATGATACATGAGAAAATGTAGCATGAGGGTATGTACCTTCTTGTGGGGCTGGTATTGCCCGCAGGAGGACGCCCTAGTTGCGAGGAGGATGGGAAGCAGCAGGAGGATGAGGCGGAGCGACTGTGCGGAGAAACCTGCTGGACAACATGCGCTCGCAAGGATGACCGCAGCGAAACGAAGTCTCTTGGCCCATTCCTGCCAACCTCCTCCCTTCACCCTCATCTTCGTCTCCTCCCCTCCTCCCCCGGCCACTCGTCATATTCCTCTCTCCCTGGCTCGGGCGCGGCGGCTTTGAAGAAGCGCGATTTGAGGCTCGAAGGTGGTCGCGCAGCCGACAAAGACACTCCACAACGGCAGTGGAGATCCACTTCTGTAACTATCCACCGCTCTGTCGGTGAAGCCACGTCAACCCCCATCTCGCGGGCATGATCGCCTGCCGCCCCGGCATGAGCCTGACTGGTCGCTCGGGATGCCCGGACTCAAGAAGGGACGCACCCTGCCCGTTGAACAGCACCAAACCAAACGCACGCTGCCCTGCATCTGGCAGGGAACCGCCCCCGCCCAGAAGCTCTCAGGCGCAGGCAGGCACTCCGCCTGCCAACTGCGGGTCCCACAACGGTGCTGTGACAGGCCGTGCGGTGACCTCGAGGGCGCGGCGTCTGAACAGATTGTGAGGAAGTCCCACGCGAGGGCGCAATTCCTGTATAAAAGTGTGAGGAAGTCCCGCGCGAGAGTGCGACTTGGGAATAAAGTGTGAAGGGGGTATCCATCGGGAGCCGTTGTTGTTGTAAACCGGGGGCCAGGAGCACAGTTTGGTAACACCTCACTACCCCTAGTTAAAAACAAGGTGCGAGCCCAGGGAGAAGCGACGCAATTGAAAAATATGTTAAGAAAATATTGAGCGGTTAGAGCTCAACATCAGCAGCAGCAACAACAACAACAGCAACTATGACTACTACTACTACTACTACTACTATTACTACTACTACTACTACTACTACTACTACTACCACTACTACTACTACTACTACTACTACTACTACTACTACTACTACTACTACTACTACTACTACTACTACTACTACTACTACTAAAAAGACGACGACGACGACGACACTAAACAACAACGACAACAACAACAATAATTTTAAGACTGTTCGCCCTTATATGCTCGAGTGTCCGATAACGCGTATTTCCCGAACCCTCGATACCCGCCGTCTTCGTCTTCGATCGAACCCCTTTTGGGGGGTATACCTTTCTTCCCTGCAGGCCGGGCCCCGGCAAGCGGTGGGGCGGCCGCGGACCGTCGACCCTACCCCAAGAGGGACGGACAGGGGGCCGACCACGACGACGACGACTACGACGACAACGACGACGACGTCGAAGACGACGGCGACGACGACGACGACGACGGCGACGACGAGCGAAAGCGAGAGCGAGAGAGAACGACAGCAGGGCCACGAAAGGCACGAAGTAGGCCACGAAGGGCGACAGCGGGGACACGAAGGGAATGCGTATGGGGCCACGAAGAGCGCGAACGAGCGGGGGCCACGAAGTGCAGATAATGCGGGGCCACAGAAGGCAACTATGGGGCCACGAAGGGCATGCACATGGGGCCACAACGGGCGCGACTCCTGGGTGCCTGGGTGTCGGGAGCGCGGCGCTTGGGCAAACTGCAGGAAATTCCAACGCAAGGCCATTCTTCAGTAAGTTGCAAGCAAGTCTCCAGCGAGAGCGCGACTCCAGAGCGCCGGGAGAGCGATTCCTGAATAAATTGTAAGGAAGTCCCAAGCGAGAGCGCGATTCCTGAATAAAATGCGTTGAAGCCTCGGGCGGGAGCGGAGGTCCTGGCTAAATTGTAAGGAAAACTCTGGCGGGAGCCGTTGTTGTTGTAACCCGGGGGCCAGGGGCCCAGTTTGAGCATCAAGATTTTCCCTGTCAAAAAACAGGGAGCGAGCGTCGAAGGGCACACTTTGATTGAGAAGAAATATGCACCGGTGGGGGGGATCAACAATAATATTTTTCATAAGTGGGAATTTAATAAAAACAACAACAACAACAACAATGATAATTTTAAGACTGTTCGCCCTTATATGCTCGAGTGTCCAATAACGCGTATTTCCCAAACCCTCGATACCCGCCCTCTTCGTTTTCGATCGAACCCCTTTTGGGGGGTATACTTTTCTTCCCTGCAGGCCAGGCCCCGGCAAGCGGTGGGGCGGCCGCGGACTGTCGGCCTGGCCAGCGGCAGCGTTGATCGGCGGGGCGGCCGCGGACCGTCGACCCGACCCCAAAAGGGACGGACAGGGGACCGACCACGACGACGACGACGACGACGACGACGACGGCAACGACGTCGAAGACGACGACGACGATGGCGACGACGAGCGAAAGCGAGAGCGAGAGAGAACGACAGCAGGGCCACGAAAGGCACGAAGTAGGCCACGAAGGGCGACAGCGGGGACACGAAGGGAATGCGTATGGGGCCACGAAGAGCGCGAACGAGCGGGGGCCACGAAGTGCAGATAATGCGGGGCCACAGAAGGCAACTATGGGGCCACGAAAGGCATGCACATGGGGCCACGTAGGACAGTGAGGGGGACACGAATGGCGACAGCGGGGCCACGAAGGGCATGCACATGGGGCCACAACGGGCGCGACTCCTGGGTGCCTGGGTGTCGGGAGCGCGGCGCTTGGGCAAACTGCAGGAAATTCCAACGCAAGGCCATTCTTCAGTAAGTTGCAAGCAAATCTCCAGCGAGAGCGCGACTCCAGAGCGCCGGGAGAGCGATTCCTAAATAAATTGTAAGGAAGTCCCAAGCGAGAGCGCGATTCCTGAATAAAATGCGAAGAAGTCTCAGGCGGGAGCGGGGGTCCTGGCTAAATTGTAAGGAAATCTCAAGCGGGAGCCGTTGTTGTTGTAACCCGGGAGCCAGGGGGCCAGTTTGAGCAGGAAGACTTTCCCTGTCAACAAACAAGGTGCGAGCGTCGAGGGGCACACTTTGATTGAGAAAAAACCGTATGCACCGGTGGAGGGGGATCAACCATAATTGTTCTTTAGAAATGAGAATTCAACAACAACAACAACAACAACAACAACAGCAGCAGCAGCAGCAACAACAACAACAACAACAACAACAACAACAACAACAGCAACAACCATTTTAAGGCTGTACGCTCTTACTTGCCCGCGAGTCATTCAACACGTATACCCTACACCCTCGATACCCGCCCTCTTCGTCTTCGATCACACCCCTTTCGGGGGGATTATTTCTCTTTGCTGGGGCCGGCGGGCTTAGACGTACGGGCAAACCGGAACGGGCGGACAATCCTTCGGGGGCGTACATCTCTCTGCCCGCCATTGGAATTGGCGCGGGCCCTGCAAGAGGAGGAGGGGAAGAACGAGGGAGAGTGGGAGGAAGGGGAGGGGGAAGGACGAAGGAAGAGGGAAGATACCACGTTGTGAAGGCGTCCTTGGCGCGCGCGTGGTTCCTGAGCGCCGAAACGCAATTCCAGAATAATTTGCGAGGACGTCGCACGCGAGAGCGCAGTCCTGAGTACATTGTGAGGAAATCTCAGGCGGAAGCGGGGGCCCTGACTAAGTTGCGAGGAAGTCTCAAGCGGGAGCGCCGTTCCTGAGCAAATTGCACGGAAGTCTCAGGCGGGAGCGGGGGTCCTCACTAAATTGCGAGGGAGTCTCAGGCGGGAGCGCCGTTCCTGAGTCAATTGCGCGGAAATGTTAGGCAGGAGCGGGGTTCCTGAGTAAAATTCGAAGACGTCTCAGGCGGGAGCGCCGTTCCCATGTAAATTGCACGGAAATCTCAAGCGGGAACGGGGGTCTTGATTACATTGCGAGGAAGTCTCAGACGGGAGCGCCTTTCCTGAGTAAATTGCGCGGAAGTCTCAAGCGGGAGCGGGGGTCCTGAGTAAAAATCGAGGAAGTCTCAGGCGGGAGCCGTTGTTGTTGTAGCCCGGGGGGCAGGGGCACAGTTTGAGCAGGAAGACTTTCCTTGAGAAAAAACAAGGTGCGAGCCCCGGGGGTGGCACTTCAATCGAAAAAAATCAATGTGCACCGGTGGGGGGGGATCAACAATAATTATTCTTCAAGAATGAGAGTTCAACAACAACAACAACAACAACAACAACAACAACGACGACGACGACGACGACAACAACAACAATAACAACAACGACGACAACAACAACAACAGCAGCAGCAGCAGCAACAGCAGCAGCAACACAAACTCGGCGTGGTTCTTCCGCTGCGCGGGAAAATCTAGGCCAGCCCGACAACCCTGAGATCGACAACGCGAAAAATGGCAGCTTCGCGAAAACCAAAAAAAAACACGACCAGAACCCTGGACCCCATCTTTCCGCTGCATTTTCTTGTGAGCCGTATCGACATGCGAGGGCGTCCAGGGGCTCGACATCCTGCGAAAACGCCCGGCGTGAAAAAAAACTGCAACACCCGGATCTCGGGGACTCCGGTTAGGTCGGGCATGTCCCCCTACAGGCGGATTTTGGACGAAGAAAATAATATGTCAAGTATGTTTCTTTTTTTATATATATATATTATGTTATTGGGAAGAGAAAAACAAAAAAAAAAAAAAAAAAAAAAAAAAAAAAAAAAAAAAAAAAAAAAAAAAAAAAAAAAAAAAAACGACAAATCGTCCCCAGACCATCTTGGTATTATGTTTGAACATTCCTCCTGTAGCCAGGGCCAGCCCTGGGGCGCCACCTCTGGGCCGAGCCCCCCGCCACGGCGGCCAAGGACT